AATAACTCTCTAGTAAGCTCTCTTTAATTTTTTAAAATTGCCCTATAACCCAAGGAACTAAAAAATTTCATAACAAATCCCATACCGGTGCATTTATTTTCTGCACTGGTACAAGAGGGCTGATTTTCCAATGGTTATTAATATATTTGAAGAATAACAACTTGATAATGTATTAGTATTTTTGAGTAGGATAGTTTATAACCATTTTGTTCGTCACCTTTCTCAGCATAGTGTCTAAGAAAGAAGGTTATATTTCTGGTTTCTTGAAAATTGTATGTGAATACTTTTATGAATAAAAATATCTATTTTTCTCTTCAGTTTTTAAATTTTTTCCAGATCACATATGTGTATATATATATATATATATATATATTCCCTCTGTATGCTTACATACAACTTTAGGCAGGTTCTGTTCAAACGACCTTTGTGAAAACTGGTTATTAATGAAAATAATGACTTCTTGATTTCACTATTATGGTTTGATCATATTTAAAGCATTTGGATTAGGCAGGGTTTCTCAGCTTCAACACTGTTCATATTTTGGACCAGACGATTCTGTGTTGTGGGGACTGTCCTGTGCATTGCAGGATGTTTAGCAGCATCCCTGGCCTCTACCCTCTAGAGGCCAGTAGTACTCACCAGTTGTGAAAACCAAAAATATTTCCAGACATTGCCAAATGTCCCCTGGAGGCCAAAATCACCTTTTCCCTCCTTTCCTGGGGTGAGGACATTGGATAAGATACTGCTGAAACAGGTCTTCATGTGAATGGGAATAATTAAGCTCCAGCTGTCTATTTACAAACCCATGCTTAAAGCTCAGAATTGTAATACCAATTTGTCAGAAACTCCAGGGATTTTTAAAATTAACCTTAAGGATACTTGTTTGCCCTGTAAAAATTTCAGAACTTATTATCATCAGTTAAATTGCAGATTTTCAATATAATGCTGGTATTATTTGAGGGATGTATATATACCTCATTAAGAGACCAAAAAGAAACAACTGCTAGGCCCTATCTACCTTGCAGCCTCCTACATTTTCCTTACAAAGGCCAGGGCTGTTTGAATGATTATAGCTGGAAAAATGAGATTTGGGGACTTCTTGATTCCATCTTAAGGCTGTAAAGCTTAGTAATTTTTGACACTCTTCAGCACTTTTGCAAGCTTTAGGTGACCTTAACTGAGAAGTTCATGGATTTGTTGGTGGAACAGCTAGATGGTTGCTTACCAAGTCCTTTAAGCATCCCTTCCCAGACTTGTTTGCTGGCAGCAAGGCAAAGCCTGAGAAATTTGGAAAGACCTGCAGTATCTTGCATGAGTCATTCTCTTTGTGGATAGTGGGCTTTGCATAAACTTCCCTCCATAACTTCCTGTCCTGTACTCCATCTTCATTCATGTATCTTTTCATCTTCTCCCCCCTTCACCCCTACTCTCCAATTATCCCCTCCCCAGGACCCCCACAAAAAAGTTTAAGGGAACAGATAAAAAATGTCTGTTATTAAAGTTATTCAATAATTAACTTTTGTGGACTGGTGCCAGAGAGTTGTATGGTATTTAATAAAAGCTTTTTCATTTTTTTTCTTACCTATCACTTGTTTCTGTTCACATTTTGGGTAAAATTAGCCTTTACCAGCAAATTCTGAGTGAACCAGCAAATTCTGAGTTTAGTATTAACGCACAGTAGCTAGTTTGTAATTGTTGCCAGCTTAATCTTCTGGCTGTTTCAAATAGTACCACCTCTGGCCATAACCTCTTTTCATACGCAAGAATTTCCAGAATTAACTTTTGTTTGGGAATACTTAGCTATTAGAAATAGACGAGGAAGAAGGTACACTCCTGAAAAGTCTATATTCATGACTAGAACCGATAGGATCGTCATTCTATTCTCATTCAAAACAATGCATGACAATTAATTTTGGATTTTTTTTATCCTGTCTTCCATAAATAAAGGATGTTCCTGTTTAATCTTTTGAGCATCCCATTGATTTCTGGCATACTGTATGTATAAATAAGACATCTCCCCAGGACTTTGGTATTTTATCTTTCCAGAACATGAAGTAGGCACTAAGTGTTGGTGAGCACTAACTTTCAAATTAAACTCTTATTAAGTACAACTTCCTCTACATTCAAATGGGAACGTATTTCTGCATAGTTAAATGTTTTTCAAATACCAACTGAAATGTGCACAATAAGATTACTAGTTATCAAAACAAAAGATCAAGAGGTTGTTTTCTTAATTTGGGGTTTTATTTTGGACAAAAAAATATTTTAGTTCAATTTGAAGCCTTTGTTTTCTCTAGTAATTCTTGTTTTTGCAAATGTTATTCTACTTTTCATTTAGAGTAAATGCCAACTTTTAAAAATGACACAGTGAATTTACATTAGTCAAAAGTATGGGAAGTTTTCTGTCTGCTTGTTTTGTTTGTTAGTTTTTGTTTTTAATAAATTTTAGTCTTATTGCATATTTCCAAAAGAAGAATAAAGACAAAAACACAGAATGCCTTCTACCTGGTTCTTGTAAATTACTGCTTTGGTGTCTGTTAGGTGAACTTTAATTCTTGCGAGAGTCATCTGGGAGTCAAGAGCAAAGGGAGGGCTTCCCTGGTGGCGCAGTGGTTGAGAGTCCGCCTGCCGATGCAGGAGACACGGGTTCGTGCCCCAGTCCGGGAAGATCCCACATGACGTGGAGCGGCTGGGCGCGTGAGCAATGGCCGCTGAGCCTGCGCGTCCGGAGCCTGTGCTCCGCAACGGGAAAAAAAAAAAGCAAAAAAGCAAAGGGAATCCAATTGCCTGGGGCAGATGGAAGACTGGGCGACTGCCAAGGGGCTGGGCAGAAGAATTTTTAGATTATATTTTCCTATCAATAAATATCTGGGAAGAATTTTGTTTCCAGAGAGTTTACTAAAAGAATGTCTATTTTTGTTCCGTGGTTACATGAAACTGTAAGGCACATTTCTACACTACATAAAGACATGAAATAAATTAGTCAGTTCAGGTGTCTGTATCCATTCTTTCTGGGCCACTGGAGCCTAGTTAGACCCTCACTGCCTGCCAACTGCTTATTAACTTCCAGGTTCCTTGTTAGAATAGGGAGAGGATTGGATCCAAATATAGATTTTAAAGTTACTTTATTAAATTCATTACCAGTAGGACTATTGACATTCTTGTATGTCTGAATAAGGTAATTCTTCTCTAGTTAAATAATTACTAAATGAATAAATGTATTATTTCAAAAGCAACTTTAGCAGATGTTTGCATCTTCTTAAAAAAAAAAAGATAGGAATTCTTTGAAGCATTCAGAACATTCTCATCATGCTAACCTCAAGAGAAACAACAAACTTCATTGAAATATACACAGTTTCCTGTAACATCTGTATTTATGTCACCATCTCACTTTGGGGATATGATAACAATTATTTACCAGATAGGTAGAGTGACTATTTTCCCCTTAATAATAGTAAGTGAATATAAAAATCTTGCTTCTCACTTATTATCAGTCTATATATATTCACATAATTACACATTTTACTAACAAATACGCTTTTTTTCCTTTTTAAATAATATTATGGTCATTGGAAGCTCTTGGATAAACAAGTCACTGAAAATAAACTTAGATAGTAAAACACTGTGGTCCTGAAAAACTGCACACTACTTTATTTGGAAATAGTAGAATTTGCAGAATGTTGCTGTAAAGGGCATGCTACTCAAATTACTTGGTTCTGAAGACTCTTACTATGAAAGCAAAGTATTTTCTGAAGGAGTAGAGCACAAATAGCTAAATGTTTGAGCCAAAAAATAGAGTTATTATTTTACTGTCTTGGAAAAGCCTATCCAATTTCACCATGTATGTATTGCAAGTCTTTTTTATTAAAAAGATAGCATAATAGAAGAAGCAAGAGGTGACAAATAAAAACTGTTTAGGCTTAAGTTATTTTTAGCTATAGGATGCTGATAATCTATAAGAGTTGGACTGTCCTTTAGGAAAAGATTAAAATGCAGTTAAATTTCTTTTAGGTGTAGGGAGATGTTTTGGGCTATTAAAACCTACTTTAGAAGTCTACATTCCTGCCATGGATCTTATTTTCCCCTAAGTTTCTTCAGTATTTTCTTGTTGGTTTGTTTTTTCCTGCCAGAGAAAGAGCTTCCATGACAGAACTGTTTTCCTTTTTCTCCCCTTTCTTCCTCTCCTTCCTCTCTCTTTCTTGCTCTCTTCCTTTTCAAAGTGTTATTTTCCCCAGTCACAGTCTTACTAACAATATCTCAGGGTTGGGAAGAACTTTAGAGGTTCTAGACTAATGATCACCCATCAATGAATCTTCATAAGTGGCATACAGGCTCTGTTGGAATAGTTAGCAATGGGGAATTTATAAAGCAACCCAATATGGTTGTTATAACATTCTTCATAATATGTGCCAGGGTCATCTATCTACCTAAAATTCTCCCTCTCTCCCTCCCTTCCTCCCTTCCTTCCTTCCTATTCCTTCTTTCTATCTCTTTCTTTCTTTTTCTTTATCTCTCTATCATCTTCTGACTTCTACAGATAAAAAAAAGTGTGAAATGTCAGCTCTTGAAGTATTTGAAAGTAGTTTCTGAACACCAACCCCTGTCCCTACTGAATCTCTTTTCTAGCTAAACAGATTTATTTCCTTCAGTTGTTCTTCACGTGTCACTGTTACCAAATGCTTCTTATAATTTTCTTATTCTCTGGACCTGCTCCATATCTCAAAAACCACACTTAAAGTATAACACTTGGTCTGGGGTCTGAGCAGTGCAGGGTAGAGCAAGAATACTATATTACCTTCTTCATATTGGCCACTAGACTGTTTTGATGTTTTTGGCTACTCTCTCCTAGTGCTGATTCAAATTAATCCTATTGGATATTGAAATCTCTGAGTCTTTCATACTCATTTGTATTTTGGTTAGGTCACACTGCTAGTATGAAGTAATTAATGATTTGAATCTAAGAGGATGACTATATTATTCCTATTAAATAGTGTCATGCTTTGAGTTATTTTCTTATTTTTGAGTGTTTTCAGTGTCTTAAATTACTGTTAAACCATGATTTTGCTTATACCTTTTTCCAGAGTCACTGATAAAATTCTGAAAAAAGCAGGGTTGAGAACCAAGTTATGAAGCATTCCAATTTAATGGCTATAAATAGAGATGATTTCTAAATTTATAGCTCTAGCTGTTGCTGTTTCCAAGCTTCAAATTCATATATCCTTCTGACAACTTTGACATTTCACACTTTATATTTCCAAAAAACTAGATGTTGATGTCCACCCCCATATCCAACCCTCTGGTCATTCTCATCACACAGTTGGTCAAACTCAAAAATTATGAGTCAGCTTTATTTTCTTCATTTTCTTCACTGCTTCCTTTCCCATCAAGTCTGTTAGTTCAATCTTCAAAACCAGTGCTTTCACTTTCTTCCATTTTCACTTCCCTTCCCTGGTCTAAGTTCACGTCTTAACTGAACCATCTCAACAGGCTCCATGTTTGATTCTGCATCCACTCTTCTCCCAGAAATTGCTTTCTCCACACAACAGCCAAAGGATCTTTTAATGTAGAACTACTACATGATCCAGCAGTTCCATTTCGGGTTATTTATCTGAAGGAAACAAAAACACTAAATCAAAAAGATATCAGCACCCCCATGTTCACTGCAGCATTATTTACAATAGCCATGACATGGAAACAATCTAAGTGCCCATCAACAGATGAATGGATTAAAAAACTGTGGCAAATATATTCAGTGGAATATTATTCAACCATAAAAAGAAGAAAATCCTGCCATTGGCAAAACATGGATGAACCCTGAGGACATTACGTTAATTAAAATAAGTTAGAGAAAGACAAATACTGTATGATCTCACTTATGTGTGCAATCTAAAAAGAAGAAATAGAACTTGTAGATACAGAGAAAAAATTGGTGGTTGCCAAAGAGGGTGGGGAGTGGATGAAATGGGAAAAGGGGGGCAAAAGGTACAAACTTTCAGTAATAAATAAATAAGTTCTGGAGATGTAATGTACAGCATGGTGACTATAGTCAATAATAATGTATATTTGAAAGTTGCTAAGAGAGTAGATCTTAAAAGCTCTCATCACAAGAAAAAAATGTGTAACTATGTGTGATGATGGATGTTAATTAGACTTACTGTGAAAAAATGCATAATTTAATGAATATTCTTGTTGAAGTATTTAATGAATATTCTTGTTACAAAGTATAATATATACACAGCTTAATATATATACAGCAATATATATATATATACCAAATCATAAATATGCAGCTCAATGAGTTGTCACAAGGAAAACATACCCTATAACCTCCACACAGATCAAGAAATAGAACACTACCAGACCTCAGAAGTCTCTCTTGCCATGTCTCTCACCAACTTCCTTTCCTTCCCAAAGTAACTGAACTTTAACATGATGCATTAGACTTGCCTGTTTCAAATTTTACATAAAAAGAATCATACATAAAACTTTTTTTGAGTCCAGTTCATTTCATTAAACATGACTGTGAATAGTACATCTTTGTTATATAGAGGAGGGGTAGTTTTTTTCATTTTCATTTCATCTCATTTCATTGCTGTATAGTGTTTCATTATATGACTAAACCACAATTTATTTATCCATTCTAACGTTGATGGATATTTGGGTTGTTTGCTATTAAGGGCTGCTATGAATAATGCTGCTGTGAACATTTCTGAATATGTCTTTTGGTGCAGATATGGACACGTTTCTGCTGGGTTTATATCTAGGAGAAGATTCACTGAGTTAAAGGGTAATTTATGTTCAATTATAGTAGATACATCGAATTTTATAAAGTGATTATACTAATTTATACTCCCACCAGCAGTAAATGAGAGTTCTAGTTGCTCCACATCATCACCAAAGTTGTGTACCTACAACTTTGAATTTAAATAGCAAAAGCGTTGTAAGAATTAGATAATTCAGCAAGAATGAAGAAAATATTAAGATTGGCAACATCAAGAGTAAAAAGTGACATATCCCTGTGGTTATTTTAAAATCAGGAGGTAGATGAGAAGCAAACCAAGTACTGGTTTGAGACTGATACTCTTTCTGAGGGGTGGGTCACTGGAAACCATACAGGGGCCAAAATAATCAACCTAGCTAAAATGTCCCTTTGGGGAGTGGGAAATGAATTCTTATTCACTGTACTTGCTTCCTGGGAAGGGATAATATCAAGTGTTAGGGGAGTACCTTGCTTTTACAAACAGTCTTTTAAAATATCTTATGAGTAAGTGAGTTATTTTTCTACAAATATGTTGACACATCCAGTATTGCAATTCTTCATTTACATTTCCATGACTTCTTTATTTCTCTTGTCTTTGTTGTCTCTTCAGTCTAGTTGCTCACCTGGTTTTTATCTTCCTCAAACATCTATATTCCCTTTTAGCTTAACTTCATACCACTTTAAAAAAATATCTAAATCTGTAGCATATTTACAAATCTACAATTTTGATGTCCAGTAATGACAGTTGAGAAGTACTGATCTAATTCCTTGATGATCCTGATTAACCTTCATGGTGTAAAGACAGTGTTAGCATCTCAGGTCCAAACCAAAACATTTTTGAGAGTGAAAGGGGGGCACTGTTGATAATTATATTAGAACAACCAGCAAAGACAGAGATTGTCATGAGCAAATTGGGACCTATTGCCATCCGAGCTTGATAACAATCTTCAGATAATCTTGCCTTCCCATTTCCTGGTCTATGGATCGTGGACACTGTAATTTGGTTGCTTCAAAGGAGATCTAGGAAAGGAGAATCTGCCCCCCACCCCAAAGTATCATGTAGTAGAAAAAACATGAATTTAGGGTTAAGTTTTAATTCCTGTTCTAAAATCATTATCCATGTAGCTTTGTTACTCAATCTCTTTTATCCTTGGATTCTTCAATGAAAAATGCAATGATGTAAGAATGAACCAAAATGCCAGAGAAAGTGTTTAAGTCTGTCATTACCAGGAAAGATACTCAATACATATTACTCTTCCAAGGGAGTCAATGCTTGCAAATAAGAAGGTAATCAAAGGGAGAGGAGGTGGCCTCATACTGAATACGGTCCAATTCTCTCATCCAACGTATAACTCTTAATATTGTATGTATCTTTTATATTTTTCTCCAAATACTTTTATATTTGTTTCTAAGAACTGTCCTGTGGTAAAGGCAGGGCAATTTTTATTATACCCATATTAGAGACAAAGAAGCAGAGGCTCAGAGATGTTCATAGTTTTGACAAAATTGCCATGGTTATTAAATGTTAGGTCCAGGATGTAAACTCAGGTCTCTTGCATCTTGGTCTAGGACTTTTTTTTTAACATGTCTGGCTCTTCCTGCCTTTTTCAGGTGCATGGATGGGTAATTAATTAACTATGGTCCCCAGGCTTGAGATAAGACACTGGTTTGAAAGAAACCATTTAATAAAATATTTAAGGTATATTTGCTTGTATGATATGCTTTGCTTTATTTTTTGACACAAGTGAGGTGTTGATTATAGTTCTGGAAGCAGCTAAAGGATAAAAATCACTAACTTTTTATTATTTGCATATGTGTCACACATTTTATGGTTATTCTAAAACAAGTTCTGCAGTTGCTTTTCCCTGAATACTAGAAACATCTCAGATATTTTTCCATCAACCGTCTATTCAGTGAGACTATTATGCTCTGGGAATGCTGATATTACATCCAAAATACAATTAATAATTTCAATCTGTGATATAAAGCACATAAATTATTTCAAAGGCAAATGAAAAATAAATCAGGGCCCGACTATGTTTTAGCATTATTTTCCACCACATTCTTCAGCTGATAGTATGAGAAAGCTAGAGTTAATCCTAAAACCTTTGGAGCTTAATAGTCAGGACATTGCTATTCAACAACAAAAGAAAGAAGGGGAAACAGATGGACAATGTTCCAAATCAATGGGAGTGGCTCATGCTTCTTCAAGGGGAGTGGGCTGACCCTGAGCACAGGGTGGGATGGGGCCACCCACATGGCTGCAGGTTCAGCCCAAATAGTTCTAAAGTGCCTCAGAAAACACTGGACTAAAAGAGTAGAAATAAGTACATGTCTTTGTATGACTTGAGAGAATGGTCCAAAAAGAAGATAGAATCCATGTGGAAAAAATTTAGACTTCCTTTTTAAAGGAAGCTTCCTTTTTTAAAAAAAGTAACAGCTTTATTGAGCTATAATTCACATACCATACAATTTACAAATTTAAAGTGTACAATTCAATGGTTTTTGGTATATACACAGCATTTTGAAACCATCACCACAATAAATTTTAGAACACTTTAATCACCCCAAAAGATATTCTTTGCACATTAGCTATTATCCCCCAATCCCTCCATCTCCCCAGCCCTAGGCAACCATGATCTACTTTCTGTCTCTGTATATTTGCTTATTCTGGGCATTTCATATAAAATAATTTATACAATATGTGGCCTTCTGCGACTGGCTTCTTTCATTTAGCATAATATTTCCAAGGTTATCCATGTTGCATTAAACATCAGTACTTCATTTCTTTTTATTGCTGAATAATATTCCTTTTTACTAATATTATCTATTAATTAATTGATGGACATTTGGATTGTTTTTCCTTTTTGGTTATAATGAATAATGCTGCTGTGAATATTTGGGTACAAGTTTTTGTAGAAACATGTTTTCATTTATCTTGCATCTATACCTAGGGGTGGAATTGCTGGGTCATATTGTAACCCTATATTTAGTATTTTGAGGAGCTGCCAAATTTTTCCAAAGTGGCTGCACCATTTTACATTCCCACCAGCAGTGTAGGAGTGTTCCAGTTTCTCTACATTCCTTTTTTTTTTTTTTTTTTCCCGGTACGCGGGCCTCTCACTGTTGTGGCCTCTCTCGTTGCGGAGCACAGGCTCCGGACGCGCAGGCTCAGCGGCCATGGCTCACGGGCCCAGCCGCTCCGCGGCCTGTGGGATCTTCCCGGACTGGGGCACGAACCCGTGTCCCCTGCATCGGCAGGCGGACTCTCAACCACTGCGCCACCAGGGAAGCCCAGTTTCTCTACATTCTTACCAACACTTGTTATTTATCTTTTTGAATATAGTCATCCTAGTGGATGGTAAGTAGTATCTCACTGCTTTAGTCCTCTTGAGATGCTGTACTAAAATACCATAGACTGGATGGCTTATAAGCAACAAACATTTGTTTCACATATTTCTGGAGGCTGAGAAGTCTAGGATCATGGTGCTGGCAGACAATGTTAATTGAGGGCTTCCTGGTTCATAGACAGCTGTCATTTTGCTTTGTCCTCACATGTTGGAAGGGGCTAGGGAGCTCTCTGGGGTCTTTCATAAAATCACTCCCATTTCTGAGTGTTCCACCCTCCTGACCTAAGCACCTCTCAGAGCCTCACTTAATACCATTACATTGGGCATTAGGATTTCAACATATGAGTTTTCAGGGGACATAAACATTTAGACCATAGCACTCATTGATTGGCATTTTTCTGATAGCTAATTATAGATTTCATTTTTGTCCAGAATGTTAGCCAATATATATGCCCTTCAGGGGCAATATTGGCTAAATATTACAAATCCCTGTATATTATCTCCACTGTAAAAGTTCTTTGTTCATTTCATGTAATTCCTATTCCATAGTTATGTCTTTCCCGTGGACTTGTCATGTGGCAATTAAGTTATAGTGTGTTTATTATATTGCATTAAATCGTATTTATATATTGTATTGTTATAGGGTATTGTCTTATTAGTTACATCTTTTCTAGGGGCACTATATAATTTTCTCCAGGAAGACTGCAACTCTCAGAGGATAAGGTCCATGCTTCTCGTTTATTTTGAGACCATTTCATGATTTAATACAAAGTTGAGCATGTAGTTTGCACCCACTAAGAATTTGTTTATTGACTAGTTCAGCTGATCGCTCATTTTTGCTAGGCTAGTTTAAATGAAGTCTTAAAGCTAAAAAGATGTAAATGAACCAATATTCACAAAATGTAAACTTCATCAAGTATTGGGTAATTAGGATTTTACCAAATTAATTTTTTAAATTCATAGCTTAACAGAGCTTGATAATTAAGTACAGTAGCATCCCTAAGATAAGAGGATTGGGGGTGATTCCCCGTGGAAGTGAGGGTGTTGCACAGGGGCCCTGTGCTGCTGTTTCATAGAGTGATGTGGGGAGTTTTCTTCATCTCTATCAGTCAGACAAATAGAACCACATCCACAGATTATACTGGGAGGCATTTGGAAGCTTAACAAGGCGTATGTGAGTAAAAGTGGTTTTAAGGGTATCAGTTTTCATTTGTTCAACTTCCATATGTACTCTAACAAAATTGATTTGCTTGATAACTCATCTGTTGTTTTCCATTCCCACTTACCCTTTCAAAGTTGCTCCTTTTCCATGTCATACCAAAGAAATGCAGACCTCTCATCCATCTTGAACTTATCACGCTGCTGTGCTCAGTGCTGTAAAAGCCTCTGGAGAAGAGAGTGGGGAAGGGACAAATTCAAAGTATTGGTGTTAGCAGTCTTCTTCAATCAAGAAGCCATAAGCACTACCCCTAATTCATCTTATTAAGATAAACATTTCCAATGCATTTTTCTTTTTATGTTTAGTAATTACTCACCAAAATTTGTGAAACATTTACACTGTCTTGATCAATTATTTACTACTAATACCTTTAATAGTAATTATTATTATTTATTATTATGATGTAATTGTTATAGCAATACCTCATTCCAGAAGGAAACTTATAATTCTTAGATGTTTAAAATCACAGGCAATAAAAATCAATTTCAATTTATAGACATATTTTTGTAGCAAAGAAGTATGCTAAGGTGGTCAAAAGTAGTTTCGAGCATAAAACAATTACTTTAAAATCATGTTCTATAGATGCTGAAGGGGAAGCCACATGAAATAATCTTCTCAAGAAGAAAAAGGACAAAGACAAATTTTTTATAATTAAAGAAAAACTTGTCATGTATTTGCTTATTTATTAATAAAATAGATGATGGTATCAAATTGATGATACCTATATGCCATTGGCTACATTTAAAACAGTAATGTTAGTATTTATAATATTCTGGAAATTACTTTCTTTGCAGCTATTTAAACTGTGGTGAAAAAGACTTTTTATGTGTCAACCTAGAAATTTACAAAGTTTTTCTAAACTTTTTCATGGGGTATTGAGCAAAAAAAGAATAAAGAGAAGAATATTGCTATGGTTCAAGGTAAGGTACTTTCCAACTGCACAGGCTTCGTTTTTGTAACTTCCTTTCCCCATTATATTAATTTTGGTCCTGATTTTATCTGAAAAATCTGATGTTGGGGGAGGGTGAGGGAGGAAACAGAGCAGCAGCTGTCCAGTCTGAGCACATTCTGCTGCTGGAAGTCATCCCAGAAGATGCTCCTCAATGATTCCAGTGTGATGTGAACCAAGTCTGCTTTCAAGACCTTCTGAGAAGGCCCTTGATCTTTTCTGCTCAGACTGATTTTCACAATTTCTTAGGGTTTTTGTCAAAATATTAAAAGCATTTAAAAATATTTTCAAGTTAAAAGAAAACCCTCGTTATGTCTAAATTATAGAAGGTAAAATTTCAGAAAAGTGGTTACATTTAAACATAAGAGCGTTGCAAGTTGGTAAGTGTATTGCAATGTTTGATTTGGCGGCTGAGGAGCAAAGCTTTAACTGAGGGTAGGATTTTCATCTTTTCAAGCCAAATATGGTCAGTTTTAAACTCCTGACAGTGTCCATATATATATGTTTCTCTTAATAGTTTGACTTGGATTTATCACTCATACAACTCAGTCCTCCATGTGGCAAAATGGGGTTTTCCTGCCTTTGACCCTTTCTTGTGGTTCGGCACTTGCCCTGCTCCCTCTGGGGTCCAGGCTCACGAAAAAGTAAACTAATAGGAGGGGATCCTTGTTTATCCCCATATAAAGGGATTTGCAAGGCATAAGTGAAGAAAAGTATCTTAAATTGCTTTGCAAACTCTACAGTGCTTTCTAAGGGTTACCTTTATTACAAATAGCCCAGGGGTTCCTTGAAGACAGCAACCATACCTTAATGAACTTCAAATTTTTCACATCTAGCACAGTGCTAGATATACAATGTGTAGTTAATTTATGTTTCCTGAGTAAATTTCAGGTTTTTTCTCAGAACCTCAAGTTAATCTGTGCAGCTTTGAGGGCAACCAAATAGAATTAATGTTCATTGAGTGTCTACTAGATACCTTTTTTAGTATGAAGGTACCTCAAGTGAGAAAATTCCTAGTGTCATAACTACTTGGCAATAAGAAACTCTGAGAGTTCATACTAGGTTAATGTTGGGCCTGCTGGACTGGGAGAGGCTGAGAGAGATGGGCTGGCTATGGAGCTGGAGGTGTACCAGATTGAGTCCTCTAGGAACGGATGCCAAAATGGCATTATATACTAGATGTGCAAGAGATTTATTGGGGGGAACACGTGTAAGAGAAAGAGGAAAGGAAGAAGAGTTGCTTAGGAAGAGTCTCAGACTGCAGCAGAGTTATAAGAAAGCTTGGGCTGGCCTCAGCATCCCCATGCTCAGTCATTGGCTGGGGGCAACCAGTGGAAAGTGTGGTCTCAGCAGGAACAGGGGGGTGGATTCAGAAAGCAGCAGTTAGGGCCATCTATCAACTATGTTCCCCATAGCAAGAGATCTGAGTGGTGCATTTTTCAGGGCCACAACAGGCTTTTTGTGTGGATGGAATTAGAAGAAGTATTCCAAATTACATTGACAGGAGGCTGAGGCAAACCTGGTTTAATCTAGCCAGCTGATCCTGAGAAGTGGGTAAAGAAACAATTAGTAAGGAAGAATGGTAATCTGGAAGCACAGGTTAAGGAAGAGCCAGTCTTTTGGGGTTGAAATAAGTGAAGTAGGGAGTGAGTAGAAGAGACTCATGAGTGTTTTATGCTGAGTGAAGTTAATTGAACAATGAGATGCGGAATATACTTAATTATATAGAATTTGAAACTTCAGATTATTTTCAATGTGTCAGAATGATTGTGCATTTAAAAAATGGTTGATGGAATGTGCTGTATTAGAATCTGGAGAAAGGTCATCAAAGAGCATTAAAAAGGGGAAAGATCACAAATCTATCCCAATAGTATGAGAAAAGAATTAAGTGGAAGCTTGGTGAAGAAAGTCCTAAAAAGTTAAGGGATGTGTTTTGTTATTTCTGTCTTTTAATGTTCCTGCTAGCATTCACTTGTACTTAGTTACATTTCTTAGAAAATTTATACATATCTTTTATATTTTGTTGACTTAGAAACTTATCATCCCCTCCTTTTAAATTATTTGCATATGCAAGTTTGATCACATACCTTTGATTGTAACATTTATGTACTCCGGTTGTGACAAATGATTTTATAAGGCAAATTTATCTAATCATACGCGAGAACAGGGGATTCCCTGGTTGTGCTCTTGTCCTCCCAGTTCCTGGAGTAATTGTGTGATGACCTATCTTGTCGTAACCTGATCTTATCAATTAAATTATTTTGTTTTTTAGTGTCAATGTACTAAGCTTACTCACATTTAGGAGAAAATATATTATCATAAATTTCCATTTTCTTGATTTACTGAAATCAGTGGTGAATAAATGACAATAGTTTTTTGGGAGTTACTGTTTATCAAATTGTGGCTAACATTGATAGGAGAAGTTTTATTTAAAAGATTTTATGTGTTGTAAATTTTCTGTAAACAGTGTAAATGCTTTGCAAAATTGATATTAGGCAGTCTTCTTCATATTTTACATGGCATGGTAGATTCTGGTATTTATCTACTTTAATTATCGGCATTGTAGAATTTATTATGTGGTTCTACGAAAGTTATTTTCTCTTACATATTTTCTACATTTAAAAATCTTCTAACTCATGCATTATGTAACCCATTTTAATCAGTTGTATTAAAATGACACCTGGGCTTCTCTGGTGGCGCGGTGGTTGAGAGTCCGCCTGCCAATGCAGGGGACACGGGTTCGTGCCCCGGTCCGGGAAGATCCCACAGGACGTGGGGTGGCTGGGCCTGTGAGCCATGGCCGCTGAGCCTGCGCGTCCGGAGCCTGTGCTCCGCAACGGGAGAGGCCACAACAGTGAGAGGCCCGCGTACCGCAAAAACAAAAACAAAAACAAACAAAAAAATGATGCCGTATTGAGCATCTAAATTGCTTATTCTAAGTGTCTTAAAATGGTAATTGAGATTTCCACAATGTTAAAAGGGTACACATTATGAAATATAAAATATGTAGGCATCATTTTGATGGCCTCTGAAATCTCGATGAGTTTTAATGCCCTATTATAAAAGTGTCTTTTTCACTGTCTAGATTGGGATGCAGGTGGCTTTTTGTTTTTCCCCAAGCTCTGAGTCTGGTTGAAGAAGGAGTCATAGGAAATGGGGTGAGTAGAAAAATGGAAGGGATGACGTGGTATATGTTCCCAGTCTGGCTCTTTGGACAAGAATTGAGACCTTGGAATTAGAAGGGAAGAACTAGAAGGTGGAAGAACTGTTTTCTTAAAAGATGTAAAATTCTGGATATATTGGAGCTATTTTGGTACTCATTCTTTCAGGCTCTTTGTGGATTCCAGTCCTGCTCTGATATCCCAAAGATTGATGGCTTTGAGAGCTTCAGGATTCAGCACATGGCGCAGATTTTGGGTTAGTGGGCATTATCTGTGGGTGCATTCAGTGAGGCTCAATGAAATGGGAGAAGAAAGGACATTGGATGCCACTAGGTGACTAGAGCTAATGAAAATAGCTATTGGTCAAATGGAAATATTGGTGGCCTCCATTTGGGAGTGGTAGAAATAATCAGAAATCACTTTAAATAGGTTAGCATTTTTAATGGAGCTATCACAATTTGTGTATGTATATGTGCATAGATACACCCTGGTGAAACAAAGTGGTGTCCAGTTTTCCCAGCACCACTTATTGAACGGCCGTCTTTTCTCATTGTATATTCTTGCCTCCTTTATCAAAAATAAGGTGACCCTATGTGTGTGGGTTTAACTCTGGGCTTTCTATCCTGTTCCATTGATCTATATTTCTGTTTCTGTGCCAGTACCATACTGTCTTGATTAAGGTAGCTTGGTAGTATAGTCTGAAGTCACTGAGGCTGAATCCTCCAGCTCCGTTTTTCTTTCTCAAGATTGCTTTGGCTATTCAGGGTCTTTTGTGTCTCCATACCAATTGTGCAATTTTTTGTTCTAGTTCTCTGAAAAATGCCAGTGGTAGTTTGATAGGGATTGCATTGAATCTGTAGATTGCTTTGGGTAGTAGAGTCATCTTCACAATGATGATTCTTCAAATCCAAGAACATGGTATGTCTCTCCATCTGTTTATATCATCTTTAATTTTTTCCATCAGTGTCTTACAGTTTTCCACATACAGGTCTTTTGTCTCCTTAGGTAGGTTTATTCCTAGGTTTTTTATTCTTTTTGTTGCAATGGTAAATGGGAGTGTTTCCTTAGTTTCTCTTTCAGATTTTTCATCATTAGTGTATAGGAATGCAAGAGATTTCTGTGCATTAATTTTGTATCCTGCTACTTTACCAAATTCATTGATTTGCTCTAGTAGTTTTCTGGTAGCACCTTTAGGATTATCTATGTACAGTGTCATGTCATCTGCAAACAGTGACAGTTTTACTTTTTCTTTTCTGATTTGGATTCCTTTTATTTCTTGTTCTTTCCTGATTGCTGTGGCTAAAACTTCCAAAACTATGTTGAATAATAGTGGTGAGAATAGGCAACCTTGTCTTGTTCCTGGTCTTACTGGAAATGCTTTCAGTTTTTCACTATTGAGAATGATATTGGCTGTGGGTTTGTCATATATGGCCTTTATTATGGTGAGGTAAGTTCCCTCTATGCCTAATTTCTGGAGGGATTTTTATCATAAATGGGTGTTGAATTTTGTCAAAAGCTTTTTTCTACATCTATTGAGATGATCATGAGGTTTTTCTCCTTCAATTTGTTAATATGGTATATCACATTGATTGATTTGCATATATTGAAGAATCCTTGCATTCCTGGGATAAACCCCACTTGTTCATGGTGTATGATCCTTTTAAAGTGCTGTTGGATTCTGTTTGCTAGTATTTTGTTGAGGGTATTTGCATCTATGTTCCTCAGTGATATTGGCCTGTAGTTTTATTTCTTTGTCTGGTTTGGTATTAGAGTGATGGTGGCCTCATAGAATGAGTTTGGGAGTGTTCCTCTCTCTGCTATATTTTGGAAGAGTTTCAGAAGGATAGGTGTTAGCTCTTCTCTAAATGCTTGATAGAATTCGCCTGTGAAGCCATCTGGTCCTGGGCTTTTGTCTGTTGGAAGATTTTTAATTCCAGTTTAAACTTCAGTGCTTGTGATTGGTCTGTTTATATTTTCTATTTGTTCCTGGTTCAGTCTCGGAAGGTTGTGCATTTCTAAGAATTTGTCCATTTCTTCCAGGTTGTCCATTTTACTGGCATATAGTTGCTTGTAGTAATCTCTCGTGATCCTTTGTATTTCTGCAGTGTCAGTTGTTACTTCTCCTTTTTCATTGTTAATTCTATTGATCTGGGTTTTTTCCCTTTTTTTCTTCTTGAGTCTGGCTAATGGCTTATCAATTTTGTTTATGTTCTCAAAGAACCAGCTTTTAGTTTTATTGATCTTTATTATTGTTTCCTTTATTTCTTTTTCATTTATTTTTGATCTGATCTTTGTGGTTTCTATCCTTCTGCTGACTTTGTTGTTTTTTTGTTCTTCTCTCTCTAATTGCTTTAGGTGTAAGGTTAGGTTGTTTATATGAGATGTTTCTTGTTACTTAAGGTAGGATTGTATTGCTATAACCTTCCCTCTTAGAACTGCTTTTGCTGCATCCCATAGGTTTTGGGTCATTGTGTTTTCATTGTCATTAGTTTCTAGGTATTTTTTAATTTTCTCATTGATTTTTTCAGTGATGTCTTGGTTATTTACTAGTGTATTGTTTAGTCTCCATGTGTTTGTATTTTTTACAAGTTTTTTCCTGTAATTGATATCTAGTCTCATAGCATTGTGGTTGGAAAAGATACCTGATACGATTTCAATTTTCTTAAATTTACCAAGGCCTGATTTGTGACCCAAGATATGATCTATCCTGTAGAATGTTCCATGAGCACTTGAGAAGAAAGTGTATTCTGTTGTTTTTGGACAGAGTGTCCTATAAATATCAGTTAAGTGCATATTGTTTAATGTATCATTTAAAGCTTGTGTTTCCTTATTTGTTTTCAGTTTGGATGATCTGTCCATTGGTGAAAGTGGGGTGTTAAAGTCCCCTACTATGATTGTGTTACTGTCTATTTCCCCTTTTATGGCTGTTAGCATTTGCCTTATGTATTGAGGTGCTCCATATGTTGGGTGCATAAATATTTACCATTGTTATATCTTCTTCTTTGATCTATCCCTTGATTATTATGTAGTGTCCTTCTTTGTCTCTTGTAATAGTCTTTATTTTAAAGTCTGTTTTGTCTGATATGAATTTTCTTCTGCTTTCTTTTGATTTCCATTTGCATGGAATATCTTTTTCCATCCCCTCGCTTTCAGTCTGTGTGTGTCCCTAGGTCTGAAGTGGGTCTCTTGTAGATAGCATATATAAGGGTCTTTTTTTGGTATCCATTCAGCCAGACTCTGTCTTTTGGTTGGAGCATTTAATCCATTTACATTAAGGTAGTTATCAATATGTATGTTCCTATTACCATTTTCTTAGTTGTTTGGGGTTTGTTATTGTAGGTCTTTTCCTTGTCTTGTGTTTCCTGCCTAGAGAAGTTCCTTTAGCGTTTGTTGTAAAGTTGGTTTGGTGGTGCTGAATTCTCTTAACTTTTGCTTGTCTGTAAAGGTTTTAATTTCTCTGTCGAATCTGAATGAGATCCTTGCTGGGTAGAGTAATCTTGATTGTAGGTTTTTCCCTTTCATCATTTTAAATATGTCCGTCAGTTCCTTCTGGCTTGTGGAGTTTCTGCTAAAAGATCAGCTGTTAACCTTATGGGGATTCCCTTGTATGTTATTTGTTGTTTTTCTCTTACTGCTTTTAATATTTTTTCTTTGTATTTAATTTTTGATAGTTTGATTGATATGTGTCGTGGCATGTTTCTCCTTGGATTTATCCTGTATGGGACTCTCTGTGTTTCCTGGACTTGATTAACTATTTCCTTTCCCGTATTAGGGAAGTTTTCAACTATAATCTCTTCAAATATTTTCTCAGTCCCTTCTTCTCTTCTCCTTCTGGGACCCCTATAATTTGAATGTTGGTGCGTTTAATGTTGTCCCAGGAGACTGTCCTCAATTCTTTTCATTCTTTTCTCTTATTCTGCTCTGCAGTAGTTTTTTCCACTATTTTATCTTCCAGGTCACTTATCTGTTCTTTTTCCTCAGTTATTCTGCTATTAATTCCTTCTAGAGAATTTTTAATTTCATTTATTGTGTTGTTCATCATTGTTTCTTTGCTCTTTAGTTTTCTAGGTCCTTGTTAAACGTTTCTCTGCATTCTATTTCTGAGATTTTGGATCATCTTTACTATCATTACTCTGAATTCTTTTTCAGGTAGACTACCTAGTTCCTCTTCATTTGTTTGTTTTGGTGGGCTTTTACCTTGCTCCTTCATCTGCTCTTTGTTTCTCTGTGTTCTCATTTTGCTTAACTTACTGTGTTTGGGGTCTCCTTTTCTCAGGATGCATGTTCATTGTTCCCATTGTTTTTGGTGTCTGCCCGCAGTGGCTAAGGTTGGTTCAGTGGGTTGTGTAGGCTTCCTGGTGGAGGGGGCTGGGGCCTGTGTTCTGGTGTATGAGGCTGGATCTTGTCTTTCTGGTGGGCAGGACCACGTCTAGTTGTGTGTTTTGGGGTGTCTGTGACCTTATTATGATTTTAGGCATCCTCTCTGCTAATGGTTGGGGTTGTGTTCCTGTCTTGCTAGTTGTTTGTCATAGGGTGTCCAGCACTGTAGCTTGCTGGTCGTTGACTGGAGCTGGGTCTTAGCATTGAGGTGGAAATCTCTGGGAGAGCTTTTGCTGTTTGATATTAAGTGGAGCTGGAAGGTCTGTGGTGGACCAATGTGCTGAACTCAGCTCTCCCACCTCAGAGGCACAGGCCTGACACCCGGCTGGAGCACTAAGACTGTGTCAGCCACACAGCTCAGAAGAAAAGGCAGAAGAAAACAAAGAAAAAAGAAAAATAAATAAATAAAGTTATTAAAATAAAAACTAATTATTAAAAATAAAAAATTAAAAAGTAATTAGAAAAGAAGAGAGAAAGAATAGAGTAACCAAACCAAAAATGAAATCCACCAATGATAACAAGTGCTAAAAACTATACTAAAAAAACAAACCAACCAACAAACAAAAAGACAGACAGAATCCTAGGAGAAATGGTAAAAGCAAAGCTATACAGACAAAATCACACAAAGAAGCATACACATACACACTCACAAAAACAGAAAAAGGAAAAATATATATTTACCATTGCTCCCAAATTCCACTGCCTCAATTTTGGGATGATTTGTTGTCTATTCACGTATTCCACAGATGCAGGGTACATCAAGTTTATTGTGGAGAAGTTCTTTGTGGACATTTAATCTGCTGCTCCTGAGGCTGCTGGGAGAAATTTCCCTTTCTCTTCTTTGTTCGCACAGCTGTTGGGATTCAGCTTTGGATTTGGCCTCGTCTCTGCGTGTAGGTCGCCTGAGGGTGTCTGTTCCTGCCCAGACAGATCCGGGTTAAAGGAGCAGCTGATTAGGGCGCTCTGGCTCACTCAGGCTGGGGGGAGGGAGGGGTACGGAATGCGGTGAGCCTGGGCGGCAGAGGCCAGCATGACATTGCAACAGCCTGATGCGTGCCGTGTGTTCTTCCGGGGAAGTTGTCCCTGCATCACGGGATCCTGGCAGTGGGGGGCTGCACAGGCTCCCTGGAGGGGAGGTGTGGATAGTGACCCGTGCTTGCACACAGGCTTCTTGGTGGCTGCAGCAGCAGCCTTAGTACTTCATGCCCATCTCTGGTGTCCACACTGATAGCCCATGCCCATCTGTGGAACTTGTTTAGGCTGTGTTCTGAATCCCCTCTCGTCACGCACTCTGAATCAATGATCTCTTGCTTCTTGGGTAAGTCCAAACTTTTTCCTGGACTCCCTCCCGGCTAGCTGTGGCGCACTAGGCCCCTTCAGGCTGTGTTCACGCAGCCAACCCCAGTACTCTCCCTGGGATCTGACCTCCGAAACCCGAGTCTCAGCTCCCAGCCCCAACCCGCCCCGGCGGGTGAGCAGACAAGCCTCTCAGGCTGGTGAGTGCTGGTCGGCACCAATCCTCTATGCGGGAATCTCTCCACTTTGCCCTCTGCACCCCTGTTGCTGCGCTCTTCTCCGTGGCTCCGAAGCTTCCCCCCCACCCACCCTTCATCTCCGCCAGTGAAGGGGCTTCCTAGTGTGTGGAAACCTTTCCTCCTTCACAGCTCCCTCCTAGTGGTGCAGGTCCCGTCGCTATTCTTTTGTCTCTGTATTTCCTTTTTTCTTTTGCCCTACCCAGGTATGTGGGGAGTTTCTTGCCTTTTGGGAAGTCTGAGGTCTTCTGCCAGCATTCAGTAGATGTTCTGTAGGAGCTGTTCCACATGTAGATGTATTTCTGATGTATGTGTGGGGAGGAAGGTTATCTCTACATCTTACTCTTCCACCATCTTTAAGATCTCCTCTGGATCTCCAAGCTTAATGTTTAGTCAGAGGTGACTATCTACAACCAGTTATAACATGACAGTAAATGGTTTTTTGAAATATTCAAGTAGTAATTACAACACATTGCTTCAGGTGGCAATTTATAAAAGAAGTTGTTATATAAACTCCACCTAGTCTGAGTCTGTACCCATATAGTCCCACCCGGGAATAAATCCTATACGAGGGGTATGCTAAAATCGAAGTGTCAAAGAGCAGCTCTAACCTCCCACAGTAAATAATTCAGAAACTGAACAAATTAATGAAGCAACTGTTTCTAATGTTCGGAGAATAAACAGCATAGAATTGTGATCCTTGTAAGAAAGGAAGCAACTGTGACCCATACAATCTTCTTGGTTCTCTGCCTGGAGTCAAAACCAAGGGATGGAACACAGGGGTGGAAACTCAAACAGATCCTGGAAGGCTTGCTAACTTGAGAAGATGAAGATCAGAGTCTGGGGAGGCTGAGACAGCTGGAAGTTACAGGGCAGAGTTTTGGAAAGGGGGCATTTATAAGAAAAGAAGTCCATAAATCTGCATGGGGTCACCTCTAGTTTTCATTGAGTACTAGGCTACCCACATAGAGAATAAAGCGCCACAAAGATGGAGAAGGAATGACTATGGGTCTGTAAGAGGAAATATTCAGAGCTCACAAAGGGCAAGAAGACATTTGAGCTCTGGCCATCCAGAATGGAGAGTTCTTAATGATCATCTGGGAAATTTAATGCAGACCCCAGGATTCCTGCCTTAGAAGTAAGAATGAACCAACATTGGAGTGGATGCTGTTGTTGATCCACCCTAGCAAAATGTATAAATAGACCTCAGAGGTGATGGAACACGAAAATATGCTCAAAAGCATTAGTCATTAGGGAAATGTAAATTAAAACCACTATGAGGGCTTCCCTGGTGGCGCAGTTGTTAGGAATCCGCCTGCCAATGCCGGGGACACTTGTTCGAGCCCTGGTTATTTAACTCTGTACAGGAAGAATGCAATGCAAACACTTAACAACATAACACTCACAATATCCAGCATCCAAGAAAAAAATTAATAAACAAGCCAAGAAGAAGGAAAAGGGGACCTTTAGCCAGGAAACAAATTAGTCAATAGGAAAAGCACGAAATGAAGGTGTTATTAGAATTAGCAAAGATGTTAAAAACATGAACACAGTAAGTAGAGAAATGTAAACTATTAAAAAAGAGGCAAATGGAATTTATAGAAGTAAAAATGTGATACATAAAAATAAAGAAATGATGGCTCCAAATTTGATGCAAATTATGAACCCACTGGTTCTAAAAGCACAATGGACCGAAAGCAGGATGAACACACTCATGCTAACATAGTTACATCAAGGTACACCATAATCAAGTTTCTGGAAACACTTGAAAAGAATATTTTAAAGACAACTAAAGAAAAAAGACATTAGATAAGAGAAATAAAGATAGAAATTACAGTAGATTTGTCATCTGTAATTATATAAGCCAGAGCAGTGGAATGACATTTTTATTTATTTATTTATTTTTATTTTTTGAATATTGATTTAATTTATTTATTTGGTTGTGCCGGGTCTTAGTTGTGGCTTGCCAGCTCCCTGGTTGCAGCACATGGGCTCCAGCTGTGGCATGCGAACTCTTACTTGTGACATGCGTGTAGGATCTAGTTCCCTGATCAGGGATCAAACTCGGGCCCCCTGCATTGGGAGTGCAGAGTCTTAACCACTGCGCCACCAGGGAAGTCCTGGAATGACATTTTTAAAGTGCTAAAAAAAAAAAAAAAAAGCCTTCAATCTAAAAGTCTATAAACAGAGGCATTGCTCCTCAAATAAGGGCAAATAAGGACAATTTTCTGAAAAAAATTGTTTTCAGCAGAGCTGAACCACAATAAAAGTTAAAGGAAGTTTATCGTGTGAAGAAAAAATGATACCAATGGAAATATGGATCAATAAAAAGGAATGGAGAGCACTGGTAATGCTAAATATATGCTTAAATATAAAGACCTTTCCCCTTAATTTTTAGTGATTTTTAAAAGTATTTAATTGCTTAAAGTAAAAATAATACAATGTATTTTGGAGTGTATAACATACATAGAAGTAAAATATATAGTAACAATAGCACAAAGGAGAGGAGGGAGAAGCAAAAGAAGATATGCATATGACCAAGACATACACGAAAATATGCTCAAAAGCATTAGTCATTAGGGACATGTAAATTAAAACCACTACGAGGGCTTCCCTGGTGGTGTAGTCGTTAGGAATCCGCCTGCCAGTGCAGGGGACACTTGTTCAAGCCCTGGTCTGGGAAGATCCCACATGCTGTAGAGCAACTAAGCCCATGCACCACAACTACTGAGCCTGAGCTCTAGAGCCTGCAAGCCACAACTACTGAAGCCTGTGCACCTAGAGCCTAAGCTCCACAACAAGAGAAGCCACTGCAGTGAGAAGCCTGCACACTGCAGTGAGGAGTAGCCCCCACTCGCCGCAACTAGAGAAAGCTGCACGCAGCAACAAAGACCCAATGCAGCCAAAAATAAATAATAAATAAATAGATAAATTTATTTTTAAAAAAACCCCACTATGAAATACCACTACACACCTGCTAGATTGTCTACATTTACAAAGACTGCCCATACCAAGTGCTGGCCCAGATGTAGAACCATTGAAACTATCATATATTGATTTGGGCAATATAAATTAAACAGGCACTTAAATTAATCACTTAAATCAATAACAATCACTATAAATTAAACAAAAATAAAATAATCACTTTGGAAAATAGATTGACAGTTTCTTAAAAGTTAAGTGTACACTTACAGTGTGATTTAGAAATTCCACTCCTCGGTTTTTACCCAAGAGAAATGAAGTTCACATAGACTTGCACATGAATATTCATAGCAACTTTATTCATAATAGCCAGAAAATGAAAATAACCCAGATGTCCATCCATAAGTGATTGATAAACAAATGATGGTATATTTATAACACAGAATGTTACTCATCAATAAAAGGGAACAGAGTAATGGTGCAAGCAACAACACAGATGAATCTCAAAAATACTACACTGAGTGAAAGGAACCAGATTCCAAAGAGTACATACTATATGTTTCCATTTATATGAAATTACAGAAAAAATAGAACACTAATTTAGAGTGACAGAATACAGGTCGATGGTTACCTGGAAACAAGGTTTGAGGGTAGGGGGTTCATTGATTTAGAAGTTACACAGGAACTTTCAGAGATGACAGACATATATCATATTTTGACTGTAGTGGTTGTGTAGTATATACATTTATTAAAAATAATTAAAATGTATACTTAAAATGGGTACCTTATATATATGTAAATCTTACTCAATAAAGTTGGTTAAAAATATGTCATCAGCTCTCTCCCCTCACTCCTCACTCTCGTGCTGCGAAGAAAGACCATCTGCAACCCAAAGGGAGAGCCTCACCAGACACTGACACTGCTGGCACCCTGACCTCGGACTTCTAGTCTCCAGAACAGTACATCATGGAATGCAACTCATCTCAAGCTAGAAAAGCACAGTCCTTTCAGGATTTCAGCACCCAAATGAGAGTTGTGAGGACAGAAATTGGAGGTGGACCAAGGCCACATACTGGAGTGAGCATAAGCAGAGCACAGAGCGTCATACTTGGCAGGGTGTTCCAAGAGTGATTGTTGGGAGAAAACCAAAAACAACCCAAAAGCACTGGTTGCACATGACTTACATAGGTGTGCAGCCATGTGGCTGACAGGATCTCGGCGCTCTGGCCGGGTGTCAGGCCTCAGCATCTGAGGTGGGAGAACCGAGTTCAGG